TTGCGGTGCAGGCTCTAGATGGCATGCACTAACCAGCCATGCAAAAAACAAGGGCTTAGGGCATGCTGAGTAGCTGGGAAAAATAAAAGAAGAGCATGTGCTTTCATGGGGAAACGCTCAAACATTCATACTTGGGGCAAATGTTGAAATGCTATAGCTCCCCACCCCTTTGGATTTTCGACTTGAGAATTGCGGTGCAGGCTCTAGATGGCATGCACTAACCAGCCATGCAAAAAACAAGGGCTTAGGGCATGCTGAGTAGCTGGGAAAAATAAAAGAAGAGCATGTGCTTTCATGGGGAAACGCTCAAACATTCATACTTGGGGCAAATGTTGAAATGCTATAGCTCCCCACCCCTTTGGATTTTCGACTTGAGAATTGCGGTGCAGGCTCTAGATGGCATGCACTAACCAGCCATGCAAAAAAAAAGGGCTTAGGGCATGCTGAGTAGCTGGGAAAAATAAAAGAAGAGCATGTGCTTTCATGGGGAAACGCTCAAACATTCATACTTGGGGCAAATGTTGAAATGCTATAGCTCCCCACCCCTTTGGATTTTCGACTTGAGAATTGCGGTGCAGGCTCTAGATGGCATGCACTAACCAGCCATGCAAAAAACAAGGGCTTAGGGCATGCTGAGTAGCTGGGAAAAATAAAAGAAGAGCATGTGCTTTCATGGGGAAACGCTCAAACATTCATACTTGGGGCAAATGTTGAAATGCTATAGCTCCCCACCCCTTTGGATTTTCGACTTGAGAATTGCGGTGCAGGCTCTAGATGGCATGCACTAACCAGCCATGCAAAAAAAAAGGGCTTAGGGCATGCTGAGTAGCTGGGAAAAATAAAAGAAGAGCATGTGCTTTCATGGGGAAACGCTCAAACATTCATACTTGGGGCAAATGTTGAAATGCTATAGCTCCCCACCCCTTTGGATTTTCGACTTGAGAATTGCGGTGCAGGCTCTAGATGGCATGCACTAACCAGCCATGCAAAAAACAAGGGCTTAGGGCATGCTGAGTAGCTGGGAAAAATAAAAGAAGAGCATGTGCTTTCATGGGGAAACGCTCAAACATTCATACTTGGGGCAAATGTTGAAATGCTATAGCTCCCCACCCCTTTGGATTTTCGACTTGAGAATTGCGGTGCAGGCTCTAGATGGCATGCACTAACCAGCCATGCAAAAAACAAGGGCTTAGGGCATGCTGAGTAGCTGGGAAAAATAAAAGAAGAGCATGTGCTTTCATGGGGAAACGCTCAAACATTCATACTTGGGGCAAATGTTGAAATGCTATAGCTCCCCACCCCTTTGGATTTTCGACTTGAGAATTGCGATGCAGGCTCTAGATGGCATGCACTAACCAGCCATGCAAAAAACAAGGGCTTAGGGCATGCTGAGTAGCTGGGAAAAATAAAAGAAGAGCATGTGCTTTCATGGGGAAACGCTCAAACATTCATACTTGGGGCAAATGTTGAAATGCTATAGCTCCCCACCCCTTTGGATTTTCGACTTCAGAATTGCGGTGCAGGCTCTAGATGGCATGCACTAACCAGCCATGCAAAAAACAAGGGCTTAGGGCATGCTGAGTAGCTGGGAAAAATAAAAGAAGAGCATGTGCTTTCATGGGGAAACGCTCAAACATTCATACTTGGGGCAAATGTTGAAATGCTATAGCTCCCCACCCCTTTGGATTTTCGACTTGAGAATTGCGGTGCAGGCTCTAGATGGCATGCACTAACCAGCCATGCAAAAAACAAGGGCTTAGGGCATGCTGAGTAGCTGGGAAAAATAAAAGAAGAGCATGTGCTTTCATGGGGAAACGCTCAAACATTCATACTTGGGGCAAATGTTGAAATGCTATAGCTCCCCACCCCTTTGGATTTTCGACTTGAGAATTGCGGTGCAGGCTCTAGATGGCATGCACTAACCAGCCATGCAAAAAACAAGGGCTTAGGGCATGCTGAGTAGCTGGGAAAAATAAAAGAAGAGCATGTGCTTTCATGGGGAAACGCTCAAACATTCATACTTGGGGCAAATGTTGAAATGCTATAGCTCCCCACCCCTTTGGATTTTCGACTTGAGAATTGCGGTGCAGGCTCTAGATGGCATGCACTAACCAGCCATGCAAAAAACAAGGGCTTAGGGCATGCTGAGTAGCTGGGAAAAATAAAAGAAGAGCATGTGCTTTCATGGGGAAACGCTCAAACATTCATACTTGGGGCAAATGTTGAAATGCTATAGCTCCCCACCCCTTTGGATTTTCGACTTGAGAATTGCGGTGCAGGCTCTAGATGGCATGCACTAACCAGCCATGCAAAAAACAAGGGCTTAGGGCATGCTGAGTAGCTGGGAAAAATAAAAGAAGAGCATGTGCTTTCATGGGGAAACGCTCAAACATTCATACTTGGGGCAAATGTTGAAATGCTATAGCTCCCCACCCCTTTGGATTTTCGACTTGAGAATTGCGGTGCAGGCTCTAGATGGCATGCACTAACCAGCCATGCAAAAAACAAGGGCTTAGGGCATGCTGAGTAGCTGGGAAAAATAAAAGAAGAGCATGTGCTTTCATGGGGAAACGCTCAAACATTCATACTTGGGGCAAATGTTGAAATGCTATAGCTCCCCACCCCTTTGGATTTTCGACTTGAGAATTGCGGTGCAGGCTCTAGATGGCATGCACTAACCAGCCATGCAAAAAACAAGGGCTTAGGGCATGCTGAGTAGCTGGGAAAAATAAAAGAAGAGCATGTGCTTTCATGGGGAAACGCTCAAATACTCATACTTGGGGCAAATGTTGAAATGCTATAGCTCCCCACCCCTTTGGATTTTCGACTTGAGAATTGCGGTGCAGGCTCTAGATGGCATGCACTAACCAGCCATGCAAAAAAAAAGGGCTTAGGGCATGCTGAGTAGCTGGGAAAAATAAAAGAAGAGCATGTGCTTTCATGAGGAAACGCTCAAACATTCATACTTGGGGTAAATGTTGAAATGCCATAGCTCCCCACCCCTTTGGATTTTCGACTTCAGAATTGCGATGCAGGCTCTAGATGGCATGCACTAACCAGCCATGCAAAAAACAAGGGCTTAGGGCATGCTGAGTAGCTGGGAAAAATAAAAGAAGAGCATGTGCTTTCATGGGGAAACGCTCAAACATTCATACTTGGGGCAAATGTTGAAATGCTATAGCTCCCCACCCCTTTGGATTTTCGACTTGAGAATTGCGATGCAGGCTCTAGATGGCATGCACTAACCAGCCATGCAAAAAACAAGGGCTTAGGGCATGCTGAGTAGCTGGGAAAAATAAAAGAAGAGCATGTGCTTTCATGGGGAAACGCTCAAACATTCATACTTGGGGCAAATGTTGAAATGCTATAGCTCCCCACCCCTTTGGATTTTCGACTTGAGAATTGCGGTGCAGGCTCTAGATGGCATGCACTAACCAGCCATGCAAAAAACAAGGGCTTAGGGCATGCTGAGTAGCTGGGAAAAATAAAAGAAGAGCATGTGCTTTCATGGGGAAACGCTCAAACATTCATACTTGGGGCAAATGTTGAAATGCTATAGCTCCCCACCCCTTTGGATTTTCGACTTGAGAATTGCGGTGCAGGCTCTAGATGGCATGCACTAACCAGCCATGCAAAAAACAAGGGCTTAGGGCATGCTGAGTAGCTGGGAAAAATAAAAGAAGAGCATGTGCTTTCATGGGGAAACGCTCAAACATTCATACTTGGGGCAAATGTTGAAATGCTATAGCTCCCCACCCCTTTGGATTTTCGACTTGAGAATTGCGGTGCAGGCTCTAGATGGCATGCACTAACCAGCCATGCAAAAAACAAGGGCTTAGGGCATGCTGAGTAGCTGGGAAAAATAAAAGAAGAGCATGTGCTTTCATGGGGAAACGCTCAAACATTCATACTTGGGGCAAATGTTGAAATGCTATAGCTCCCCACCCCTTTGGATTTTCGACTTGAGAATTGCGGTGCAGGCTCTAGATGGCATGCACTAACCAGCCATGCAAAAAAAAAGGGCTTAGGGCATGCTGAGTAGCTGGGAAAAAAAAAAGAAGAGCATGTGCTTTCATGAGGAAACGCTCAAACATTCATACTTGGGGCAAATGTTGAAATGCTATAGCTCCCCACCCCTTTGGATTTTCGACTTGAGAATTGCGGTGCAGGCTCTAGATGGCATGCACTAACCAGCCATGCAAAAAAAAAGGGCTTAGGGCATGCTGAGTAGCTGGGAAAAATAAAAGAAGAGCATGTGCTTTCATGGGGAAACGCTCAAATACTCATACTTGGGGCAAATGTTGAAATGCTATAGCTCCCCACCCCTTTGGATTTTCGACTTGAGAATTGCGGTGCAGGCTCTAGATGGCATGCACTAACCAGCCATGCAAAAAACAAGGGCTTAGGGCATGCTGAGTAGCTGGGAAAAATAAAAGAAGAGCATGTGCTTTCTGTTGTGTGATGTCATCATATGCTATCACATTCTGTCTGCCTCCCATCCCATATTTTTCAACTTGCATGTGTGGTTTGAACGTGTGCAAGAATTTGTGTGTGATGTGTTCTGGAGTTTGGGAATGTGTTTTGTGTTATTTTGTTTGAGCAGGTTTTTTGTGATGATAGATCTTGAGAAGATCTTTCCGACGCAACGAGAATCCCTTCAATCGGAGCAAGAACGCGAAAGCTATGAAGATTCAAAGTTCATGAGCTTGCGTTACAATTGCGGCGGTTACAAAGTGAAGTTGTGGGGTGACTTTATATGGAGTTGGGACCTTTGGGGTTGGGTAAACTTGTCACTCTACTGTAACAGCTGCAAATAGGTTGGGAACAACCAAGCTAGGTTGGCAAGGGTGGCCAACTTGGATGGATTGGTTGGGAAGGGACAAAGGTCAAAGTTGAGGTTCCTATAGGGAGGGAATCTTTGTGCTTATGGGGTTTCCTTGGTTGGGGACTCTCTTGGGACCTTCCCTCTCATCCCTCTCTTCTATCCCAACCTTTCTCTTGCTCCTCTAATTCCTTGTGAGATTCTTGAACTTTGATTGAACTTTTGAGATTGAGTTAAGTTCTCCTCCTACAGCTTACCCCCTAATGCGTCGAAAGCCATAGCGTCGCGAATACTTCATCAATCAACATGATTCAAATTGGGAACGGTAGCTGAGATTAAGAGCTACAACATATCCAAGTTTCGCGACATTCCAACGGCTAGTTTTCTGTCGACGTCGTTTCTTGTGAAGACGACTTTTCTGTCCAGAATTTCGGATTTATATTTTTGAGTAATTCTAGCTCCTAAGTTCACCTAGACTCCGTCCTTAATCCTAACAAGTGGTATCAGAGCCATATTAAGGACATTGAGAGGAGTCTACAGAAGTTTGAAGACCCTTCTAGACCCACCATGGCCTGTGGGTGTGCCTAAGTGGTGTTCTAAAGGTTGGATGTGTCTTCCGCTAAGGGGAAACTCTGCCGAAATTTCGTGGACGCCGACACTTGTGAAAATATCGAGGGAGCTGAGTGTGGACAGCAAAGGGGAGCTGAAATTCGTCATTTCTCAAGGAGAAGATGAATGAGAGAGGAGGAGATGCTAATGGAAGAGGAGCTGTAGCTGAGAAGGCAAGTGAGCCGCCGCCATCAAAAGTTGAAGCTTTGGATGGCTCCAACTATGAGGAATGGAGCGGGCGGATGAGGAGTGCCTTCAAACGCTACAAGCTACTGAAGATTGCTGTTGGGGAAGAGAAGATGCCGGAAGAAGGCGAAGCACGCGAACGGTGGATTGAGAAAAGCGCGGTGCTTTTCGACCTCATCCTTCAATCGGTCAACAAGGAGATGTTCGAGCACATCAAGGATCTTGTGGAAGCGGATGATTCGGGTCCAAGGGCGTGGAAACTACTACGTGATGTGATTCAGCCCAACACTCTCCCAATGGTGATCGTGCTCGAGAAGGAACTTGCTGCCATCTCCATGCGACCAGGGGATGATGTGAAGCCGGTCCTTGACAAGATCAAGGACACCTATGCATGGATGGCAGCAGCGGGCAGCAGTGTATCTCAGCTGCAGCAGTGCACCAAGATCATCTCGGTGTTGGACAACTCTTGGGACAACCTCATCCCCACCCTCAACTCTCAGCAAGATCAATGGACACCTGAGTGGCTAAGGCAGCAGATTCTGCAGGAGGACTTCCGCAGACGCCATGTGGGAGGCGGTGCTGCCACTAAGACTGCTGAGGGGTATGGAGCTGCAGGGCGCAGCAGAGGAAGAGGGGGTTGGAGAGGCCGAGGCCGTGGGAGAAGCTTTGGCAGAGGTAGAGGCCGAGGTGACTATAATGAGGGGCATGGGAGCTCCAGTGGCAGGGGGAGTACCAGAATGGAGGGCACCTGCTGGTACTGCAAGAAGGTCGGGCATCCTTGGTTCAAGTGCTTCAGCAGGCTGGAGGGATGGTCACCTCCAGGCATGAAGCCGCCAAGTGGTGAACGCGCACAAGGTGGCGCTGTGCAAGGCTCAGGTGCACAAGGTGAAGGTGCACAAGGTAACGCCTATCCTGGGATGTATCTCATGGTTGAGGATGTGCATGGGCATGAGGGTGATGTGGGATCTGTGGGAAAGGTTGTGATGCACCCTCTCACGCACTGGGTGATTGATTCAGGTTGCACCAGTCACATGACCCCACGGGCAGATTTGCTTGATGAGGTAAAACCCCCTGGGAAGATCAAGTATGTGGCAGCAGCGTCAGGTGCTTTGCTCCCCGTGATTGGTATTGGAAATGCCAAGGTTAAGGGAGCTAATGGGGAGCTTGTGGGGCTTGGGAATGTTCTGCTGGTTGAAGGCTTGTCTGCTAACCTTCTCTCTTTGCGACGACTGCAGAAGAGCAAGGCCGAAGTGACCTTTGGACCAACCAGCTGCCGTGCTAAGCTTGGGAAGAAGGTGCTGTGGAGTCTGGAAGAGGAGACCAGCTGCATCAAGGACCTGTGGCAGCTGCCCATCATCCCTTGGAATGGGAAGACTCCAACAGCAGCAACGGCAGCAGCGGCAAAGGCAACAGCAGGAGGAGATGCAACTGCACCAACTGATGGGGTCCTGGAAGCAGTCAAGAAAGTGCAGCAGCAGCAGACACATGGTGAGGTGCTTGCTGGTGTGGATGCGAGTGCGGCATGGGCTAAGGCTTCATCAAGGAGTGGAGAGGCCGATTGGGAGACATGGCATGAGAGGCTGTGTCATGTGAACTTCCCTATGCTGCAGAAGTTGGTGAAGGATGGGAGCCTGAAGGGCTTGGAGGTGAAAGGGGGAGTGAAGGAGATTGGGAGCTGCCCTACATGCTTGGAGACCAAGTTCTCCAAGTTCCCCTTCAACAGCACTACAGGACCAGCCAAGACCCCACTTGCACTTGTGCACATGGATGTGGTGGGGCCCACAAGAGCCCCTTCCCTCTCAGGCAGCCGCTATTTCTTGACAATTGTGGATGACCACACTCGGGCAGTGTGGGTTTACCCTTTGAAGAGCAAGGGGGAGGTGGCAGCGGCTGTCCTTAAGGAGTGGATGCCTAGAGCTCAGAGGGAATGCGGATACAAGGTGAAGGTGATCCGCAGTGACAATGGTGGGGAGTTCATTGGAGCTGATTTTGAGGGGGAGTTGAAGAGGAAGGGGATCCAGCATCAACTGACAGTGCCCTACAACCCGCAGCAGAATGGCGTGGCTGAGAGGTTCAACAGGACCCTGCAGGAGGGGGCACGCACTCTCCTTGGGCGTGCAGGGCTGCCTGATCCGTTTTGGGTGTCTGCACTGAGGCAGGTCGCCCTTGTGAAGAACAGGGTGCTGGCTACAGTTGGAGATAAGGAGTGGATCCCATATGTCAAGTGGTATGGGAGTGCTCCAACTGTGAACATGCTGAGGGCATTTGGGTGCATGGTGGTGTTTCATGTGCCTAAGGAGAAAAGGGGGAAGTTGGAGGCTTCTGGAAGATGGGGTGTGCACTTGGGGATTGCAAAGGATCACAAGGGGTGGCTGCTATGGGACTTGACCACCCAGAAGTTGACAGTGTCAAGGGATGTGAAGTTTCTTGAGTCCCTATACTACAAGGAATGGAAGCAGCAGCAACAGAAGCTTCCATCTACACCGCTCATTGTGGAGGCAGATGAGGTGCAGCAGCCTTCAAGACAGGTGGAGGTTGCAGTGTCAGAGGAGGAGATGTCTGGGGTGACTGAGGAAGGGGGAGCAGCTGAAGTAGAGCAGCAGCAGCAGCAGCAGCATGAGTCTCCACCTCGAGTTCCACACCCGCCTGAGCGTCCTAGGAGGGATGTGCGCCCTCCAGTGAGGCTGACCTATGGGGGAAGAGGCAAGCCGAATGTGGTGCAGGCTGGGAGTGTGGTTGAGCAGATTGAGGAAGATGAGATCGCTCACTGCTACTGGGCACCAATCCCTGAGCCCAAGACTCGAGAGGAGGCTTTGAATGGACCAAATGGGGAGAAGTGGAAGGCGAGTGAGGATGAGGAGTTTGGGTCCCTGATTGAGAACGAGACATGGGACCTGTGTGACTTGCCTCCTGGGAAGAAGGCAATCACTTCCAAGATGATCTACAGGCACAAGTATGGACCTGAAGGGGAGCTGACCCGCTACAAGTCTAGGCTTGTGGCACGGGGGTTTCAGCAGACAAAGGGGAAGGACTATGATGAGGTGTTTGCTCCTGTGGGGAAAGGAACAACACTGAGGGTGCTGTTGGCGATAGCTGCACTCCTGGGATGGAAGATACGGCAGATGGACATTGTGACTGCCTTTCTGAATGGGATCATTCTGGAGGAGGTGTACATGAAGCAGCCAGAGGGGCTGGATGATGGGAGCGGCAGGGTCTGCAGGCTGAAGAAGGCCATCTATGGCCTTAAGCAGGCGCCTCGTGCATGGTATCACAAGTTGGAGGAGGCGCTGCTGGCTGGGGGTTTCAAGAAGAGTGAGTGTGACCCCAGCCTGTTCCTGCTGCAGGAGAAGGATGAAATCCTCATGCTCTTGGTGTATGTGGATGATATCCTTCTCTTCTCTGCATCAACTGCTTTGCTGGACAGCGCAGAGCAGATGCTGGAGATGCAGTTCAAGTGCTCCAAGATGGGTGAGGTGAAGTACTACTTGGGGATGCATGTGGAGAGAGATGTGGAGAAGGGTGTGCTGAGGTTGCACCAGAGGAAGTACTGTGAGGGGCTGGCTGAGAAGTATGGGCTGCAAGATGGGGGAAAGCCAGCAACACCACTACCTTCAGGGTTTACTGTGGAGCCATGTGCTGATGAGGAGGTAGTGGGTGAGAGTGACAGGAAGCTGTTTCATTCGATGGTTGGGTCGCTGAACTATGCTGCAAATCATACACGGCCTGACATTGCATTTGCTACATCACGGTTGGCTAGTGTGGTCTCACGCCCTAGTCATGAGCAGCTGGAAGCGGCCAAGAGGTTGGTCCGCTATGTGAGTGCTACGGCATCAGTGGGATTGGAGTACAGTGGAGTGAGGCAGCGGTTGCAGAGAGGTGCTGCAGATGTGAAGAGTGGAGAGATGCTCTTGAGTTGCTATACTGACGCTAGCTTCAACTCAGTGAAAGCGGATGGCACCAGCATTGGGGGTTATGTGTGCTTGCTAGGAGGTGGTGCTGTGAGCTGGCGCAGCAAGAAGCAGAATGAGGTGGGATTGTCCTCATGTGAGACTGAGTACATGGCCTTACACCATGGGGCCAAGGAAGTGGTGTGGCTGAGGCGCTTGTTGGAGGAGTTGGGAGTTGGTCAGGAGGAGCCGACAGTTGTGTTCTGTGACAATGAGTCTGCTGTGAAGCTCGCCAAGAATGCTTGTCTGCATGGGCTGACAAAACACATAAGGCCTAAGTGGCATTGGGTGAGGAGACTCCTTGATAAGGAGGTGCGGCTGGAGATAGTGAAGACCCATCAGCAGGCAGCAGATATTTTCACCAAGCGTCTGGCGGAGGCGGATCATTGGAAGGGCATGAAGCTTGCTGGGATGAGTGTGCATTGAGTATGCATGCTTGAGATGTTGGCATGGTGGATGATGGTTGGCAGCCAGAGGGGGAGATTGTTGTGTGATGTCATCATATGCTATCACATTCTGTCTGCCTCCCATCCCATATTTTTCAACTTGCATGTGTGGTTTGAACGTGTGCAAGAATTTGTGTGTGATGTGTTCTGGAGTTTGGGAATGTGTTTTGTGTTATTTTGTTTGAGCAGGTTTTTTGTGATGATAGATCTTGAGAAGATCTTTCCGACGCAACGAGAATCCCTTCAATCGGAGCAAGAACGCGAAAGCTATGAAGATTCAAAGTTCATGAGCTTGCGTTACAATTGCGGCGGTTACAAAGTGAAGTTGTGGGGTGACTTTATATGGAGTTGGGACCTTTGGGGTTGGGTAAACTTGTCACTCTACTGTAACAGCTGCAAATAGGTTGGGAACAACCAAGCTAGGTTGGCAAGGGTGGCCAACTTGGATGGATTGGTTGGGAAGGGACAAAGGTCAAAGTTGAGGTTCCTATAGGGAGGGAATCTTTGTGCTTATGGGGTTTCCTTGGTTGGGGACTCTCTTGGGACCTTCCCTCTCATCCCTCTCTTCTATCCCAACCTTTCTCTTGCTCCTCTAATTCCTTGTGAGATTCTTGAACTTTGATTGAACTTTTGAGATTGAGTTAAGTTCTCCTCCTACAGCTTACCCCCTAATGCGTCGAAAGCCATAGCGTCGCGAATACTTCATCAATCAACATGATTCAAATTGGGAACGGTAGCTGAGATTAAGAGCTACAACATATCCAAGTTTCGCGACATTCCAACGGCTAGTTTTCTGTCGACGTCGTTTCTTGTGAAGACGACTTTTCTGTCCAGAATTTCGGATTTATATTTTTTGAGTAATTCTAGCTCCTAAGTTCACCTAGACTCCGTCCTTAATCCTAACACTTTCATGGGGAAACGCTCAAACATTCATACTTGGGGCAAATGTTGAAATGCTATAGCTCCCCACCCCTTTGGATTTTCGACTTGAGAATTGCGATGCAGGCTCTAGATGGCATGCACTAACCAGCCATGCAAAAAACAAGGGCTTAGGGCATGCTGAGTAGCTGGGAAAAATAAAAGAAGAGCATGTGCTTTCATGGGGAAACGCTCAAACATTCATACTTGGGGCAAATGTTGAAATGCTATAGCTCCCCACCCCTTTGGATTTTCGACTTGAGAATTGCGGTGCAGGCTCTAGATGGCATGCACTAACCAGCCATGCAAAAAACAAGGGCTTAGGGCATGCTGAGTAGCTGGGAAAAATAAAAGAAGAGCATGTGCTTTCATGGGGAAACGCTCAAACATTCATACTTGGGGCAAATGTTGAAATGCTATAGCTCCCCACCCCTTTGGATTTTCGACTTGAGAATTGCGGTGCAGGCTCTAGATGGCATGCACTAACCAGCCATGCAAAAAACAAGGGCTTAGGGCATGCTGAGTAGCTGGGAAAAATAAAAGAAGAGCATGTGCTTTCATGGGGAAACGCTCAAACATTCATACTTGGGGCAAATGTTGAAATGCTATAGCTCCCCACCCCTTTGGATTTTCGACTTGAGAATTGCGGTGCAGGCTCTAGATGGCATGCACTAACCAGCCATGCAAAAAACAAGGGCTTAGGGCATGCTGACTAGCTGGGAAAAATAAAAGAAGAGCATGTGCTTTCATGGGGAAACGCTCAAACATTCATACTTGGGGCAAATGTTGAAATGCTATAGCTCCCCACCCCTCTGGATTTTCGACTTGAGAATTGCGGTGCAGGCTCTAGATGGCATGCACTAACCAGCCATGCAAAAAACAAGGGCTTAGGGCATGCTGAGTAGCTGGGAAAAATAAAAGAAGAGCATGTGCTTTCATGGGGAAACGCTCAAACATTCATACTTGGGGCAAATGTTGAAATGCTATAGCTCCCCACCCCTTTGGATTTTCGACTTGAGAATTGCGGTGCAGGCTCTAGATGGCATGCACTAACCAGCCATGCAAAAAACAAGGGCTTAGGGCATGCTGAGTAGCTGGGAAAAATAAAAGAAGAGCATGTGCTTTCATGGGGAAACGCTCAAACATTCATACTTGGGGCAAATGTTGAAATGCTATAGCTCCCCACCCCTTTGGATTTTCGACTTGAGAATTGCGGTGCAGGCTCTAGATGGCATGCACTAACCAGCCGTACAAAAAACAAGGGCTTAGGGCATGCTGAGTAGCTGGGAAAAATAAAAGAAGAGCATGTGCTTTCATGGGGAAACGCTCAAATACTCATACTTGGGGCAAATGTTGAAATGCTATAGCTCCCCACCCCTTTGGATTTTCGACTTGAGAATTGCGGTGCAGGCTCTAGATGGCATGCACTAACCAGCCGTACAAAAAACAAGGGCTTAGGGCATGCTGAGTAGCTGGGAAAAATAAAAGAAGAGCATGTGCTCTCATGGGGAAACGCTCAAATACTCATACTTGGGGCAAATGTTGAAATGCTATAGCTCCCCACCCCTTTGGATTTTCGACTTGAGAATTGCGGTGCAGGCTCTAGATGGCATGCAATAACCAGCCATGCAAAAAAAAAGGGCTTAGGGCATGCTGAGTAGCTGGGAAAAATAAAAGAAGAGCATGTGCTTTCATGGGGAAACGCTCAAATACTCATACTTGGGGCAAATGTTGAAATGCTATAGCTCCCCACCCCTTTGGATTTTCGACTTGAGAATTGCGGTGCAGGCTCTAGATGGCATGCACTAACCAGCCATGCAAAAAAAAGGGCTTAGGGCATGCTGAGTAGCTGGGAAAAATAAATGAAGAGCATGTGCTTTCATGAGGAAATGCTCAAACATTCATACTTGGGGTAAATGTTGAAATGCCATAGCTCCCCACCCCTTTGGATTTTCGACTTCAGAATTGCGATGCAGGCTCTAGATGGCATGCACTAACCAGCCATGCAAAAAACAAGGGCGTAGGGCATGCTGAGTAGCTGGGAAAAATAAAAGAAGAGCATGTGCTTTCATGGGGAAACGCTCAAACATTCATACTTGGGGCAAATGTTGAAATGCTATAGCTCCCCACCCCTTTGGATTTTCGACTTGAGAATTGCGGTGCAGGCTCTAGATGGCATGCACTAACCAGCCATGCAAAAAACAAGGGCTTAGGGCATGCTGAGTAGCTGGGAAAAATAAAAGAAGAGCATGTGCTTTCATGGGGAAACGCTCAAACATTCATACTTGGGGCAAATGTTGAAATGCTATAGCTCCCCACCCCTTTGGATTTTCGACTTGAGAATTGCGGTGCAGGCTCTAGATGGCATGCACTAACCAGCCATGCAAAAAACAAGGGCTTAGGGCATGCTGAGTAGCTGGGAAAAATAAAAGAAGAGCATGTGCTTTCATGGGGAAACGCTCAAACATTCATACTTGGGGCAAATGTTGAAATGCTATAGCTCCCCACCCCTTTGGATTTTCGACTTGAGAATTGCGGTGCAGGCTCTAGATGGCATGCACTAACCAGCCATGCAAAAAACAAGGGCTTAGGGCATGCTGAGTAGCTGGGAAAAATAAAAGAAGAGCATGTGCTTTCATGGGGAAACGCTCAAATACTCATACTTGGGGCAAATGTTGAAATGCTATAGCTCCCCACCCCTTTGGATTTTCGACTTGAGAATTGCGGTGCAGGCTCTAGATGGCATGCACTAACCAGCCATGCAAAAAACAAGGGCTTAGGGCATGCTGAGTAGCTGGGAAAAATAAATGAAGAGCATGTGCTTTCATGAGGAAATGCTCAAACATTCATACTTGGGGTAAATGTTGAAATGCCATAGCTCCCCACCCCTTTGGATTTTCGACTTCAGAATTGCGATGCAGGCTCTAGATGGCATGCACTAACCAGCCATGCAAAAAACAAGGGCGTAGGGCATGCTGAGTAGCTGGGAAAAATAAAAGAAGAGCATGTGCTTTCATGGGGAAACGCTCAAACATTCATACTTGGGGCAAATGTTGAAATGCTATAGCTCCCCACCCCTTTGGATTTTCGACTTGAGAATTGCGGTGCAGGCTCTAGATGGCATGCACTAACCAGCCATGCAAAAAACAAGGGCTTAGGGCATGCTGAGTAGCTGGGAAAAATAAAAGAAGAGCATGTGCTTTCATGGGGAAACGCTCAAACATTCATACTTGGGGCAAATGTTGAAATGCTATAGCTCCCCACCCCTTTGGATTTTCGACTTGAGAATTGCGGTGCAGGCTCTAGATGGCATGCACTAACCAGCCATGCAAAAAACAAGGGCTTAGGGCATGCTGAGTAGCTGGGAAAAATAAAAGAAGAGCATGTGCTTTCATGGGGAAACGCTCAAACATTCATACTTGGGGCAAATGTTGAAATGCTATAGCTCCCCACCCCTTTGGATTTTCGACTTGAGAATTGCGGTGCAGGCTCTAGATGGCATGCACTAACCAGCCATGCAAAAAACAAGGGCTTAGGGCATGCTGAGTAGCTGGGAAAAATAAAAGAAGAGCATGTGCTTTCATGGGGAAACGCTCAAACATTCATACTTGGGGCAAATGTTGAAATGCTATAGCTTCCCACCCCTTTGGATTTTCGACTTGAGAATTGCGGTGCACGCTCTAGATGGCATGCACTAACCAGCCGTACAAAAAACAAGGGCTTAGGGCATGCTGAGTAGCTGGGAAAAATAAAAGAAGAGCATATGCTTTCATGGGGAAACGCTCAAATACTCATACTTGGGGCAAATGTTGAAATGCTATAGCTCCCCACCCCTTTGGATTTTCGACTTGAGAATTGCGGTGCCGGCTCTAGATGGCATGCACTAACCAGCCGTACAAAAAACAAGGGCTTAGGGCATGCTGAGTAGCTGGGAAAAATAAAAGAAGAGCATGTGCTCTCATGGGGAAACGCTCAAATACTCATACTTGGGGCAAATGTTAAAATGCTATAGCTCCCCACCCCTTTGGATTTTCGACTTGAGAATTGCGGTGCAGGCTCTAGATGGCATGCACTAACCAGCCATGCAAAAAAAAAGGGCTTAGGGCATGCTGAGTAGCTGGGAAAAATAAAAGAAGAGCATGTGCTTTCATGAGGAAACGCTCAAACATTCATACTTGGGGCAAATGTTGAAATGCTATAGCTCCCCACCCCTTTGGATTTTCGACTTGAGAATTGCGGTG